GTGAGCCAGGTATGTAATTTTACATTTTCTAGTAGCCACAATGAAAGGAATTAAACAAGTATATGCAAACTACTTCAGCATATAATCTTGACTTTTTAAGTTTTGGGGGGTTTTTTTTTGTTTGTTTTTAAGTTTTAAAAAATGTTTCTTACTGCTCAAGTCATTGGAAGTCAGTTTGTCTTTTGTACATCGAGCGCATCTCATTTTAGACTGGCTGCGGTACTAGACAGCCCAGCTGTTCAAAATGCTTTGTAGAGATGCCGCTCTTGTGAAGGATCATGGTGGCATCGAGGCATCATTGAAAAGACACAAGATGGGGTAGAAGGGGGAACCAATTACAAGAATCTAAGTATAGTCTCCTCCCTGGGGAATGGACAGAGAGGAGGGTGGAGGGAGACATCAGACAGTGTAACTTATGAAAAAACTATAATAATTTATGAATTATGAAGGGTTGGGGGGAGGAAGGGGGGAAATGAGCAAATTATATTGAGGGCTAAAGTAGAGGGCAAATGTTTTGAGATTGAAGAGGGCAACAGGTGTACATACGTACTTAATGGATGGATGTATGGACTGATAAGAATTGTACGAGCCCTCAATAAAATAATTTTTAAAAAAAGAATGAAGTTAACAAATGTACAAATGTGCTTTATACAATTGATGTATGTATGGATTGTGGTGAGTTGTATGAGCCCACAATGTAAAGACTTTAAAAAGAAAAAGAAAAGACACAAGTCTCCTTACCTTTCTTAGCATCTTTATACCCCTTACTTAAAGACACCTGCCTTTTTATTCTCTCTCATGTTCTAGTTCTTGCTTTGTTCCAGCCCTGAATTAAATTAATTTGGGGAGTGTTGAGTGGCCTCCAACTCAGGCAGTGTTGCTGCTGCTGCTAGTTGCCAGTAAGCCAGACCCAGCTCTTGATGAGCTCCTGGGCACAGAGTAGACCCACTCAGCAGGTTTGTGAGGCCGTGACCTTTCAGAAGCACATCGCCAGCCTCTCTAGGTGGGCCCACACTACCCACCTTCCAGCTACCAGTGGAGCGCGCTGTAACCATTTGTGATGTCCATGGCGTCCTACTCCCCGGTGCATGGTTGTGCCTTTCATGACCCATATGATAAATCGTTTTTCTTTGTTTATCTTTAATATTGAAATGTTTAAATAATTTTCAAATAAAGATTGATTCAGGTTTTTATTTGGGCTCTGCATAAGACATCCTGTATAATTTAAGGTCCTTGAGAGCTAGGACTTGCAGTATCATTATCAAAATGCCACTTGGAGAAACGTATGGCTCTGTGGCTGAGGCCACATCACCACATCCAGAGGTTTTAGCTCTGGTGTCACATTCTGAACTAGACCCAAAGGGTCACTTCTAGAAGAGAGCACCAGGGAAGGTGACGGGAACTTCACACTGTGACAAGAGAAGCTTGCAAACCTGGGGGGTCCTGGAAACTATTCTGAAAATGTATTGAGGAATACCTATGCTAGCTGTGCCGAGTGGGCCCAGAGGGTAAACGCTCCAAAGACAGAGCTTAGATTCTTAGAGAAGGCCTTGCCTGTGATCACGGGGTGCGCCTAGCAGTGTGGCACCTCAGAGAAATGACTCTAGTAGTAGTTACTGCAGGAGGCAAGGTGACGTCGAGGATGATTCACAGGAAATTGAACTATCATAGAGATGTCAGTGTATCATCCAGTTCTAAGGATCTATCCTGCTTTCTTTCTATTCTATAGCTCGAACAACAGAGGCAGCAACTGCTCACTGAGCGCCAGAACTTCCACATGGAGCAGCTGAAATACGCGGAATTACGGGCCCGGCAGCAAATGGAGCAGCAGCAGCATGGGCAGAACCCTCAGGCCCACCAGCTTTCAGGAGGACCTGGCCTGGCCCCACTTGGAGCGGCAGGGCATCCTGGCATGATGCCGCATCAGCAGCCCCCTCCATACCCGCTGATGCACCACCAGATGCCACCACCTCATCCGCCCCAGCCAGGTGAGAGGAAGCCTCTGCTCCTGAAGAAGACTTGAGGGTTGTCCAGGGGACACAACGCTTCAGGCGCTGTTTTCTCAGTCTGGCTTCAGCCTTCCCCACATAAAGCTTACCTGTTCTTTGCACGGTGCCCTTTGCTGGGGTCATTTGTCTCTGAATGGGCAATGGGGTGCTTCCAAAAGTCTGTGGGGAAATGGAAGGGAAGGATACTGGGGCTTTCCCATGCACTTTGAAAGGCCCTTCATCTATCTAAGAGTTACGTAAAGTTCATCCTTGTATATAACACTTTAAAACTTTTTAGCGACCTTTTAAAAGATGTACATGCACCAGAAGTCAGGGGGCGCGGGTGGGTGGGTGGGAATCCAATGAACTGCTATGATGCAGCTTCAATAGTTACCACCTTTAACAAAACCATAATTTCTAATATCATGTAAATACATCTTTAAATCTCAATGCATCCATCACAGCGGTTGACTTTGCTTTCATTTATTTGCTTGTATGCTAAAAGCACATTGGGTCATTTCACATACCCTTCTCCCCAACTCCCTCTCCACCCCCTTTCCCCATCAACAGAAAGACTGTCGGTTCTGGTTCACTTTCCGTGGCAGGCTTTCTCTTTGCAATGGCAGTGATTTGGGGATATTAAGTTTGCCCTTTGGGTCCAGTGTAGGTATGCTGATTTGTCTGTCACGAAATTTCCCATCAGGTTTCACCTGTGATGGTTTTAGCTGCCAAGTGTAACTCGCCTCCAGCAGTGATTTCATTGAGTGTTACAGCAGGTGGCCATTGTTCCATGCTGTTGAGTCCGAGCTACTGAAGGAAGCACGAGTTCTTCGTAGGTTCTGACGCCATCCTCCTAACTGCGCCTATGTGTCAGCCCGTCTGTTCAGCGTGCTGTCAGTCTGCCTTACTGAAGGTCTGCCTCTTCTTTGCTGCCCTCCTCCTTTTCCAAGCATGATGTCCTTCTTTAGGGACTGGTGTCTCCTGAGAACATGTCTAAAGGATGTGAGGCGAGGGCTCGCTCTCCTGCCTGGAAGGAGCACTCTGGCCTTGCATCCAAAACAGGTGTGCTTGTTCTTTGGCAGCCCGTGGTCCTTTTCCGTCGTCTTCTCCAGCACCATCATTCAAATGCATCGATTCTCAGGTCTTCCTTCTTACTCAGTGCCCACCTTCCTCATGCACACAAGGCCATTGAAATGCCAGGGCTGCGGCTGGGTCAGCTGCACTTCAGTCTTCAAAGTAACATCCTTGTTTTTCAACACTATAAATAGGTCTTGTGCAGCCGATTTACCCAGTGCAGTGTATCTTTTGATCTCTTGCTTGCTGCTTCCATGAGTATTGATTGTGGATTTAAGCAAGACAAAATCCTTAAACTTCTATCTTCTCTCCATTGACCATGATGTTACCTGTTGGTACAGTTTTGAGGATTTGGATTTTCTTTACATTGAGTTGTAATTCATCATGAAGGCTGCAATCCTTAATCTTCATCAGCAAGTACTTCAAGTCCTCCTCACTTTCAGCAAGTATGGTTGTATCTGCATATCACATGTTGTTAATAAGCCTTCTTCTAATCCCGCTGCTGATTTCTTCTTCATATAATCCAGTGTTTCCCAAATTTACTAATGCCGTGATCCTTTCATACAGTTCCTCATGTTGTGGTGACACCACCCCGTCCCCTCAACCATAAAATTACTTTGTTGCTATTTCATCACTGTCATTTTGCTATTGGTATGAATCAGTTGATCCCTGTGAAATGTCGTTCAACCCCCAGGTTGGGAACTTCTCTCATTTGCTCAGCACACCGATTGAATGAGTATGATGAGAGGGTGTAGAAAGGCATTTTCCTGATTATTTCTTTCAGATTTAATTGGTAGTAATTGTTGTACTTTAACAAAACAACATGAGGAACTGTATGAAAGGGTCACGGCATTAGGAAGTATTGACTACCTTTAATTCTGCGGCTCCTGCGGGGTTGCCATTGGTTTCCATCTCTATCCCACCCATGCGACTTTTGCTGCCTTGAGAGGTCACTTTTGCCTTTACAGTGACAAAGTGGTATGCTGCTATCTCTTAAAAGTAAAAGCCATAGTAAATGCCTCTGAGATGGATATTCACACCGAGCCCCTCACAGAAACGACTGCACAGCGCTGAAGGAGGAGATTCTGCAGACAGGCATTCACTTACATTCCCTAGTGAAGATTCTGATGGAGGCAGAAAACTGAGCCGGAACCAGGGCTTGCGTTCAAGCTTCAGGCTTCAGTGTGATCTTCCATTACTAGTGCTGCTTGGTCTTTCTCAGGAGTAGTTGGCTGCAAGCACGGGATGGGGCACGCAGGTTGTTATTTGCCTCTAAGCTGATTTTCCAAACAATTTGTGAAGCTGTTTATAGATGCTGAGAAACTAAAGGAGCCTTTTACTAGGGTTTCATAGCTATTTGCCGTAACATATTTTAGCAGCTTATCAGATTCCTCATATTTATTTCTGTAAACATTTTTTACTCCCAATTTAGAGATTAGAATGCAATGTTCTCCGTGTGCTATAATCTAGAGCTTGATAGTTGGTCAAAAAAGAGAGTTGAATTTATTATTGGCTACTAATAACTGACAAACCATTTTTTCAATGTAAAAGCAAGTACACATATACTCTGTAGGTAATAATCAGTGATTGGTTAATAAAGCAATGTATCTCTTTTTAGTAGTAAATTTTAAAAAACAAGCAAACATGCTTGCTTCTTTCCCTTTATCAGTTATCTGCAAATGACTTGTGGTGCCCCCCCCACCCCCCCACCCCCAGGTGACCAATGAAAGGTTTTTGTTCTTTTTTAGGTTTTGGTTGTTAGGATTGCATAATTTTTTAATTTTTATGTTAATATTATGAGTGTATATGCTTTTGAATATTTGGTGTATTCCAGTTTATTGTACCCTTTTTTTTAATGCCAAATTGTCCCCTTTTTAGCTCATAGCAGCTCTCTGAAGCATAAGAACCTAAATCCAGCTGTTTTGTTGTTGTTTCAGCCTTTTCTTCTAAGAGCAATATGTAGGGATATGTATGTGCTGCTTATTATTATTTTTTTTTAATCATTTTATTGGGGGCTCGTACAACTCTTATCACAATCCATTCATCCATCCACCCATTGTGGCAAGCACATTTGTACGTTTAGTTTGTTGGCATCATCATTCTCAAAAAAACATTTTTCTTTCTACTTGAGACCTTGGTATCAGCTTCTCATTTTTCCCCTCCCTCCCTGCTCTTCCTCCCTATTACATTGTTCTTATCCTATATGATTTTTCTTTTATATCACAATCTAAGATGACTATAGAGAGCCCTTTGGAAGGACTCTTTCTCTCTGTCTCCACCCCCACCCCACGTGACATTCACAGAATGCTGTCAAGGAGTTCCCGCATCTGCCTTTCGCTTGTAAAGATGTACAGAGAGCGTGTCCGTCCCTAAGGGACGTCCTTGATGGTGTGTGTGTGTGTGTGTGCGCGCACGCGCGCGCCCCCTCACCTCTCCTGTCCTCGCTGAACAGTTGAAGGCGCTGAGGCAGCAAAGACCACTGAGACAGAGCTGGTCCCTTACTGAGACTTCGTCTGTAAACGACCAGCGTTCATCAAGTGTCACAAAAACAAACCAGCCCTCTGTCCTTTTGCAGTCTCACATAAATGGGATTTTGTAAGGAAAAGATTAAATTGAGAAGTTAAAAAAAATCTGACTAGAAAGTCTCTTCTTACTTAAATAAAATTTACATGTTGAAAAATGTACAAGTAGTGAGTACCATATATACTCGGGTATAAGCCAACCTGGATATCAGCCGAGGCACCTAATTTTACAACAAAAACTGCATTTTAAAATGTGCTGACATTAGAACAAAAAATCTTACCATAGTGAATGATGGGGGGAGTGCGGAGTGGAGACCCAAAGCCCATTTGTAGGCCACTGGAGATCCCCTTGCAGAGGGGTCTCGGGGAGGAGACGAGCCAGTCAGGGTGCGATGTAGCAACGATGAAAAATACAACTTTCCTCTAGTTCCTAAATGCTTCCTCCCCGCTCTCACTACCATGATCCCAATTCTACTTTGCAAGTCTGGCTAGACCAGAGGATGTACACTGGTAGAGATAGGAATTGGAAACACAGGGAACTTCAGGACCAGTGGTGTGAGTGGTGATATTGGGAGGGTAGAGGGAGAGTGGGTTGGAAAGAGGGAACCGATTACAAGGAACTATATGTGACCTCCTCCCTGGGGGACGGACAACAGAAAAGTGGATGAAGGGAGACGTCGGACAGGGCAAGATATGACAAAATAACAATTTATAAATTATCAAGGGCTCATGAGGGAGAGGGGAGCGGGGAGGGTGGGGAAAAATGACCTAATGCTGGGGGCTTAAGTGGAGAGCAAATGTTTTGAGAATGATGAGGGCAATGAATGTACAAATGTGCTTTACACGATTTGTGTATGTGTAGATTGTGATAAGAGTTGTATGAGCCCCTAATAAAACGATTAAAAAAATGTGCTGAAAATCTCGGCTTATACCTGAGTATATACGGTAGTTAGCTTGATAGCTCTTCAGAGAATACACCTGTGCCACCAGCATCCAGAGGTCCCTTGTTGATCTTCCCACCTGCCACCCTTCCCATAGGTGATGACTGTCCCTGCTTGGAACACAGTAGCCTAGTTGTGCCTGTGTTTGGATGATACTGAGAGGGAACCCCACAGTGAGGTGTGAGTCTGCTCTGTGTGCGCTGCACGTGCGGTGCCCCCTCCTTGTAGTGAGTGGTTAGAGATTGGTTCTAATCTTTGCTGGTCAGTGCTCTGCTGTGTGGCTCTGCACGGTTCCCTAGTCCAGGGGTCGGCAAACTTTTGAGATGGAAGAGCCAGTCCTGTCCCTCACAATTTAAAAATTATTTGGGCACCGTAAATTTATTTTTACAACAGCTGACATCGCCCTTATCTGAATAAAACCTTGTAAACATTTCCAGTGTGACTTCAGAGCCTCGTGTATGTA